ATGGTCACACTTGTCGAAGGCTTTTGCAAAGTCTGTATATATATTACATCTGCATTCTTTTTGTCTTCTAGTGCATTTAGGACCTTGTCGTAGTGATCCAATAGTTGAGACAGACAGGAGCGACCTGTTCTAAACCCATGTTGCCCTGGGTTGTGTAACTGATGGGTTTCTAGATGGGTGGTGATCTTGCTTCTTAGGACCCTTTCAAAGATTTTTATGATATGGGATGTTAATGCTATTGGTCTGTAGTTCTTTGCTGTTGCTTTACTGCCCCCTTTGTGGAGTGGGGCTATGTCTGTTGTTTTTAGTAACTGTGGGACGACCCCCGTGTCCATGCTCCCTCTCCATAGGATGGAAAAGGCTCGTGATAGGGGCTTCTTGCAGTTCTTGATGAACAAGGAGTTCCATGAGTCTGGCCCTGGGGCAGAGTGCATGGGCATGTCATTTATCGCCTGTTCGAAGTCATTTGGCATCAGGATAACATCGGATAGGCTTGTGTTAATCAAATTTTGTGGCTCTCTCATAAAAAATTCATTTTGATCTTCGACTCTCAGTCTGGTTAGCGGCTTGCTAAAAACTGAGTCATATTGGGACTTGAGTAGCTCACTCATTTCCTTGCTGTCATCTGTGTAGGACCCATCTTGTTTAAGTAGGGGCCCAATACTGGACGTTGTTCTCGACTTTGATTTGGCATAGAAGAAATACTTTGGGTTTCTTTCGATTTCATTTATGGCTTTTAGTTCTTCCCGCGATTCCTGAGTCCTATAAGATTCCTTTAGCTTAAGTTCGATGCTTGCTATTTCTCTGACCAGTGTCTCCCTATGCATTTCAGATATATTGACCTCTTTTAGCCGCTCTGTTATTCTTTTCCGTCGCCTGTAAAGGGAGCGCCTGTCTCTTTCTATTTTACATCTACTCCTCCTTTTTCTTAGAGGAATAAGCCTTGTGCATACATCGAGTGCCACCAAGTTAATCTGTTCTAGGCATAAGTTGGGGTCTGTGTTGCTTAGTATATCTTCCCAGCTTATATCGGTTAGGACTTGGTTTACTTGGTCCCACTTTATGTTTTTGTTATTGAAGTTGAATTTGGTGAATGCTCCCTCGTGACTAGTCTCATTATGTCGGTCTGGGGCTCCACGCATACATGTCTGAACCTCAATTATGTTGTGATCTGAGTATATTGTTTTTGATATGGTGACATTTCTTTTCAGATCATCATTGTTAGTGAAGATGAGGTCTAGTGTATTCTCCAGTCTAGTAGGCTCTATTATTTGCTGGTTTAAATTGAATTTTGTGCAGAGATTTAAAAGCTCATGTGAGTGTGAGTTTTCATCAGAGCTGCCTCCTGGTGTTATTACTGCAACAATATTATTTGCTATATTCCTCCATTTTAGGTGCCTTAAGTTGAAATCCCCCAGGAGCAAGATGTTGGGTGCAGGAGCTGGAAGATTTTCCAGACAGTGGTCAATTTTTAACAGCTGTTCCTGGAATTGCTGGGATGTTGCATCCGGAGGCTTGTAGACTACCACAATGACTAGGTTTTGGTTCTCGACCTTTACTGCTAAAACTTCCACTACATCATTTGAGGCATTTAGCAGTTCTGTGCAAACAAGTGACTCTGCAATGTACAGGCCAACCCCCCCCCCCCCCTTTTGCCTGTTCACTCTGTCACATCTGTATAGGTTGTAACCTGGGATCCATATTTCATTGTCCAAGTGATCCTTTATGTGGGTCTCAGTGAAAGCCACGAACATTGCCTTTGCCTCTGCAAGCAGTCCACGGATGAAAGGTATTTTGTTGTTTGTTGCTGGCTTTAGACCCTGTATATTTGCAAAGAAGAATGTCATCGGACTGGTGGTATTGTTGGTACTGGGGGGATTTTTTTTCCGGCATTAGTATCTGTATCTGTTGGTTTGGAGTGGAGGCCATCGACTGTGGTTCCACTCCAGGAATGACTGGATTTGGTGTACAATTTCTGCCATTTCCTGCCAGTTTTTTTTCCTTCCTGGCACTAAAAAACTTCTCCCTCTTGAGTGGCTGTGGCTACCCAGGTTTTCCCATGGCCTGGATGTTTTGTACCTTTTTGTCCCCTTTAGATGGTGTGCCTGGCAATTTAAGTTATAGCACAGTCTTTCCTGTACTGAAGAGGTACACAGTTCAGGGTGAAAAAGCTTACAGGAAGGGAGTTTGCATTTTCCTGTTGTCATATGGGCATGGCATTTTCTAGGGTGGTCATAGTTGCACGTCCCGTCTGTTTTTCCAGATTTCCCATGTCTGCAGATACCAAGTGCATAGTATGTGCACAGGCTTGGTTTCCGTTTGCCTTGGGTTTCTGTGACTGTATTCCCTGTTGGTGCATGTTTCCCTCCCTGTCTTATTCCTATCCTCCCTAGCACCAACAATGGAGCTCCCACCAGTTGTTTTTGGTAATATATCCTCACTATTGCTAGTGGAGTCCTCTTGTTTGCTATTTCCTGTGGTATTTCTAGTTTGCAATATTGGTTTTATCTTATCTTTGACTACACTTGTTTCCCTACTACGGCTTCTGTCCCCTATGAGGTCATTTATGTGTATTCCTTCATGCGTATAATTCCCGACTACCTGGACAAAATCTCCAGCTTCACCATTACTGTCTCCCAGGACAGCACCTCCAGCCTCACCATTACTGTCTCCCAGGACAGCACTATCAGTCCCACATTTACTGACTACCAGGACATCACCTCCAGCCTTACAGTTTCTGACTACATGGCCAGTATCAAGGGCAGTACCATTCAGCCCAGACTTTTCATGTTCCCATCTGTTATAGAAAGCTTCCAGGTTTTCTATGAAAGCAGCTTTGATGTTATCCTCTTTTAATACCCTTGTGATTTTAGTCCACAGATTTATCTCATTTGGGCATTCCCAAAAACACTTCCCTGTCTTAATACTGCTTGTAGATAGTTCTTGGATATCTGCACAAGGGGCGTGACACCAATTTCCACAAAAATGACAATTTATCCATGTGGAAGCCCGTTTGTTTGATTGACCGCAGACTACACAGAGCTTCATAATGATTTGAATGGTTGATTTACTGTAATTCTACTAGCAACCTCTTGAATATTCTATTAATAACCTCCTTAAATGAAGCTCTTGCTATTTGTATTTCTATTTCTAACTGTACTTGTATATTGGACAGCTTACCGTGTACGTTCCTGATTTATATTTATTGTTTGTGTTTGATGAGGGCGCCTACAACCCCATCCGTTTACAGTCTGCTTTATTGTCCAACGAATCCATTTGAAACCAGTCAAGGGTTCGGACAAGTCGATCTGATCTGATCAGTGGGTCACTTATTTAAAACATACTGGTCGGTGATTTGGGCTAACACATGAAGGATCTACTGGAAATTATCTACCCGAGTAATATGTGATTTGATTGATACAAAAGTATAACTTGCGTGTTGAAGAAACCGGTGATTTCTGGCAGCTCCTACAGTGACGAACGGTCGAGCCTCAACCCTTGTTTATCAATCGCTGTATCTAGCTTTTCTAGTTTTTTTTCGTCTCCACCACAATAAATGCTATATTATCACTATAGTTGACTGGTGGAAATTTTGGAGGAAGGACGCTTTTTCTGTAGTAATAATTGCTTCTCGTTGTGTATATTGCGACCGCTGGTAACTACAGGTTATATGAAATTCACAGTATATGTCTGGTATTTCAAGAAAAAAGAAACTAATGAAAGTCACTCCACTTTACTAAGTACCATTATAATACTGGTTAGTTGCTACTACAGCACTGCCAACTTCAGCCCACTTCTGATCTTAAACTGACAAAATCTCTATTTCACTAGTATGTCTTCCAGTCTGTTAATTGGCACCAAGAAACATCCTATAAAATCATGAAGCCCACCCTTAAAAATATCCCAAAGTTACTATTTTTACTTAGGCACAGGGTCAAGAGGTTAACTGGATAAGATACGATAAGATTTCGTTCGGATTTTTAACCCCGGAGGGTTAGCCACCCAGGATAACTCAAAGTCAGTGCATCATCGAGGACTGTGTAACTTACATCCATTGGGGTCCTCAATCTTGTCCCCCAGGATGCGACCCACACTAGTCGACTAACACCCAGGTACCTATTTGCTGCTAGGTGAACAGGACAATAAGTGTAAGGAAACGTGTCGAAATGTTTCCACACGCCGGGAATCGAACCCGGGCCCTCCGTGTGTGAAGTGGGAGCTTTAGCCACCATGCACTGAGTAGGGCAGGATCTTTTTTTTTGTACTGTACAAAGACCACACATCAATTCTTTCAAGTCTAGGCCAAAATTTGCCGCCTAGGCAGTTTGAGACTGAATTATGCATACTAGTACATCATGGACTTCTGAGTGCTATGACATACTAATACATCATGGACACCTTAGGGGTTAAAAATACAATATATAGGAATTACAATACGTATTTGACAAAATTTTACTTGGTAAAAAAGGTAATTTTATGTATCTCTTACAGAAATGGTCGGCAGTGGTGTAATTGTAACAACATAGTTCTTGAGTCTTGAATGTCTAACCATGCTACTTTTGTCAGCAAGTCAGCTGTGCAAAGTATCACTGCTCTACCTAAATAATTCACAACAAAGATGTCCACTAAATGTAGGATCAAACAAAAATGGAATATAGGAACATTAGCTGTGTGTAAATGCATTTGCAGTACATAAATAGATGCTGTATTAAAAATATAGATTAAAGGTGTGCATAATGGATGTGAGATGGAAAAATTAAGTAACATTGTGTTATGTTGAAGAATGGTAAACATCAACATGGTACTGTAAATTTATAAACTTTCTGTTGGAAGAAAAATTGCTGTTCTTTTAAATTTTACCAGCAAGCAGCCAGTTGTAGAAGTATAGGATAGGCATATTCCCTTTTGGCAGTGAGTGATGTAAACAGGAATGCATTGTGGATAATAGTTCTATAATGATTTTTTTTCACATGCCTCTAATAAGCTTAAATTTTCTTCAGATCTCCAGAGTGGCAAGTGCTTGAAAAAGTAACAAATCTACCATGCAGGTGGGTTGGAGTCGAGTGGTTTTTATTTCCTTATTTCAGCAATGGTATTAATATTGTAGAGCATTAGGTGTTCCTAATGTAAATATAACAGCAATTGTAGCAAAAACTTCCTTACACAGATATTGTTGTTACTGTATTCACAACATTTTGAGTGCACCTGTGCACTTGTACTTGGTCTTGCATCTAGACATTTAACCCTTTGACTGTCGCAACCCCCAATCTTGAGGTGTCTCCTGGTGTCGCAAAATTTAAAAAAAAAAATTATTTTTTCTTATGAAATGATAGAGAATCTTTTCCCGATTGTAATGACACCAAAAAAAAACGAAATTTGATGGAAAACTGACGGAATTATTCTCTCGCGAAGTTAGCGACCTCGGCGCTGTTTACAAATCGGCGATTTCGCTCATTTTGAGCCCTATTTTCGGCTAATTCCATTGTTCCAGTCGCCCAAACTCATAGCTATTTCTTTAGAACTCCATTTTTTCTATCGATTGAGTACAAGAAACTGCCCATTTACCGATTTCAACTACCTAATAATGTGGTCAGAAATTTGCAATTTGGCCAATTTCACGAAAACTAAAAAATATGACAATTTCAAAATAAGGTCCAGAATGAACAATGCAGACATTCCTGGCTCTAAAATAACATTTTCTTTGCTCATCAGTCATGTCTCCAGGCCCCTCTGATATTACTCTTGCTTTCTATTTTGAATTTTTATTCAAACAAAAAATAGAAGACTTACTATTATGCAGACTACTGCAATACTGTATTAATTGTATAAATAACATCAATCCATTCATGACTGCATATTAGAATGGCTAGTTGGACATTTATTGGAAAATGGCATCATTTTTTTTTTAACTTTTGAACATTGGCAAAAATCAAACATTTCCCCTACTTTGAGCTCCATTTCTAGGTTCTTTTTATAGTAAAATCAATCAAAATCACCTCTATTTCTATAATATGTTTTCCATTCTATCAAATGAGACCAAGAAAACGAGAATACAACCATAAATACTATACGAAAATAGACCACAAAGTCGGCATTTTAATTAAAAAAAACGGTCGGAGTTTTTTTTTTCTCATTATGCACTGTGTGCTCCAGGATTTTTTTTATATGGTGCACACTGACCACACAGACCCATTCTCTCACATGTGGGCCTACCAGCTTTCTCCTGCTTGATTTGAAGCCGCTAGAATTTATGAGTATATATACGTCAAACACGGTACCTCGTAAGACGTATATATACGGCCGCGACAGTCAAAGGGTTAACTAGCTGACATGAATTTGTTTTGTCACATTTGCATTTGTACCATTGTACATTATTTTTTTAATAGCTTCCTCATATCATGAAAATTTTTTATTTATTTTATTATCACACTGGCCGATTCCCACCAAGGCAGGGTGGCCCGAAAAAGAAAAACTTTCACCATCATTCACTCCATCACTGTCTTGCCAGAAGGGTGCTTTACACTACAGTTTTTAAACTGCAACATTAACATGTGCATATAATTTTAACTAATTTTATTTTTAAGTTTATAACTACAGTATTTTCAGAACCTCACTGATGCCAGTGATGATGAACCAGTAGAGAAAAGAGCGAGGAAAACTAGAAGCAAGTTGGCTAAGGAGAGACTAGACAAGGAAGAAATGTCTCCCTCAATAACTGATGAGAGAAAGGTACTACGCAAGAGGGCTTGTGCAACAAAAGCAAGAAAACAAAATGAAGCCATAATGAAAGAGAACAAGGAAACTTGTGACTCGCCCATAAATAAAGAAGTAAGATGACACATAACACGAAAGCCTGTAAAATATTTTGCACTAGTATGTTCTCTCTCATAAACATGTAAGATGGCAAATAAATCTTGCCAACTTCAACATACATTCACTATAAATAACAAAAAAAGGCACAATACCGTGACTGGAACAATACACAAATAACCCGGACATAGAAGAGAGAAGCTTACGACGACGTTTCAGTCCGACTTGGACCAAGTCGGACCGAAACGTCGTCATAAGCTTCTCTCTTCTATGTGCGGGTTATTTGTGTAACATTCGCTATACATTTTACTTTCTTGTTTTTTTTAATAGTTTTTAATCTTGTAATAATGTATTTCCTTAATAGTTTAGGAGGCCACGTGTGAGATCAAGCTTAACAGATAGATATGTTAACATTGTTGTATATTATGTGATTGGCCTCATATGGGAAAGGTAAAATGAATACAGTCTCTCCTCACTTAATGACGGAGTTCCGTTCCTGAGCCCACGTTGGTAAATGAATTCGTTGCTAAGTAAGGAGCATACTGCAATGGTAGTGGTTTTGTGTCAACCATCTCTTATGTTTTAATGTCACCTTTGCACCATTTATAACATTTCTGGTATATTCTTAAATGTTTATACAGTAGTATACTGTATATTGTAATAAACAGAATAGAAGAAATTAGCATATACAGTGGACCCCTGAGTTTCGTGATTAATCCATTCCAGAGAATCTGCCGAAAGTCGGAATTCATGAATGTCAAAACTATTTTCCCCGTAAGAAATAACGTAAATCCAATTAATCCGTTCCAGACACCCAAAAGTATTAACAATTTTTTTTTTTTTATAGATTAAATATAGATTTACATACAGAAAAGAATGAAGAATGAAGACTCTTGTTGGTGTATGGAAAACGGGAGGAGGGGAGAGGATGGAGAAGTCACTGGACCCCTGTCGCACAAAAAAACTGTCCAGAGAGCTCTTGCAGTTCCACCCTCTACCACCACCACTTTTGTGTTTTTCTTCAAACTTTTTCTTGAATTCTATTGTGTTTCTCACCTTTACCAAAGGGCTGGCACTAGAAGCTTTCATTGGGCCCAAGGTGGCTTATATAGCAGTTGCAAGCACAAAAAAGACTGGATTATTACAAAATGTATGAACGCGTGGCGTGATGGTCACTCGCCCGGAAAGAATACCACACTGACTCCCTGAATGGTGCGTGGGAGCCTTTGTGTATGCACAGCCACTGGGAGGCTGCTCATATGTGCTCCATACCACCGACAAATTGCAAGGCAAATCACGAAACGCAAGGCTATATTTTGACGAAAAACTTGCTGGAAGCCGAAATTCACGAAGTGCGAGGCTCACGAAACTCAGGTTCACTGTATTAGGTATGCATACTGGTCAGACAGCCCGTCGTAAGTCTGAAGCGTTGGTGAATGATTACATCGCTAAGTGAGGAGAGGCTGTACTCATTTTTTCCCATTCTATATTTTGCAAATGCTTTTATTGCAGTACCACTTTATTTCCTGATAAATTATTACATTGCCTTTTTCATTTAATAATTTTTTTGCGTATTCTTTCTCATTTATACATTTTGCATACACCATCTTCATTTATGCAACATATTTGTATCAAAAAAATATATATTTAAATAAAGAAATACATACTTCAGTAGGTGATAATACAATCCCAGTGTAATATCTTTAATTTGTTAAAACAAATTTTCCTTTCATGTAGGAGGAATTGGATCTACCACCACCAGGTCTGTCTGAGTATGAAATCATGATACAACAAAACATTGCTGCAAAAAAGAAATTTCTGGATTCCCTTGAAATTTTTAAAACTAAAGGAGAAGTGGATGCACTGAAATCCCAGCCAGTCAAAAAGCCAACATATAGAGGAATAGCAAAACAACAAAAATCTCCTGAACCGTACGTTATTTGTTGGTTAGTTTTCCCTGTGAAGGGTATTAGCAAAATTTTTTCTTTTATAATTTTAATTCCAAACAAAGTACAATATAACAATATTTGCATAAAAAATGAATGTTAAATCTTTACATTTTATTTTATTGTGGCATTTGTAGAACATCAGCAGCTGTATTTCCTGTTGTTCGTTTATCACACATTTTTGTGCACTATTACACCATGGTCACACTTGTCAAAGCCCTATGCAAAGTCTTTGTATATTACATCTACGTGCAAAGTCTTTGTATATTACATCTACGTTTTGTTTGTCTTCTAGCGCATCCAGGACCTTGTCATAGTGCTCCAGTAGTTGGGACAGACAGGAGTGCCCTGCTCTAAACCCATGTTACCCTGGGTTGTGTAGCTGATGGGTATCTAGAACCCATCAGCTACACAACCCTTTCAAAGATTTTTATGATATGGGACGTTAGCACTATCAGTTTGTAGTTCTTTGCTATTGCTTTACTGCCCCTTTTGTGGAGTGGGGCTATGTCTGTTGTTTTTAGCAGCTGTGGGATGCCCCCTGTGTCCATGCTCCCTCTGCATAGGATGTTTTATAGCACATGATAGGGGCTTCTTGCAGTTCTTGATGAAAACCATCACTTACTTTTGTGCTTTGATGTCATTATTAAGCAAAATTAACCTATTCAGGGTCGGAACCCCTGATCTGAAACTTGCTCTGTGTCGGACAATTTAAAAAAAAAAAATGTCATGATACAGAATCTTTTTCCGAAGGTAATAAAACCAAAAAGTACGAAATTTGTTGGAAAACTTAGGGAATTATGCTCTCGCCACGTTAGCACTCTCGGCAGTATTTACGCATCAGTGGTTTCGCCCACTTTGAGCCCTATTTTTGGTCAGTTCCATTTTTCCGGTCTACCAAGCTCATAGCTATTTCACTAGCATTCCTTCTATCAATTGAGTAAAAGAAACCACCCATTTACCTATTTCAGCTACCCAATAAAGTGATCAGAAATTGGTTATTTGGCCAATTTCACACAAAATTAAAAAATTACCGCTTTCAAAATAGGGTTCAGAATAATGAATGTAGACATTCCTGGCACTAAACATCTCCTCAGTTCATTAGTCACATCTTCAGGCCTCTCCTATATTATGCTTGCTTTCCATTTTGAATTTTTATTCATGCAAAAAATAATAGTTTTACTGTTATGCAGACTACTGCATTATTGTAATTGTATAAATAATGTCAGCGCATTTGTGGACATGTATTAGACCGACCAGTTAGATGCATATCGGACGAGTGACTTAATTTGTGTACACTGGGATATCTGCAAAAATCGAACATTTCCGCTACTTTGAGCTAAATTTCAAGCTACTTTTA